TACAAATAAATTCCATTTTGATTTTTTTATTCCACATAAATGAATTTTTATCACACCAAAAAATAGAAGAATTACTGTTATGCAATACTGTAAAAATTGTATAAATATCATCACCATATTTGTGAATGCAAAATTAGACCCACCACTGGCGTGTATTAGACGTGTGAGGTCGTTTGTTTACTCTTGAATATCGGCAAAAATTTAACATTTTTGCTACTTTGAGCTCAGTTTTCAAGCCATTTCCCCGTGCTAAAACCAATCAAAATCATCTCTATTTCTGTAAAAATGTCTTCCATTCTATCAAATGAGACCAAGAAATCGCAAATACAACTATAAAAAACATAAAGAAAAAAACACTGCAAAATCGCTGTTTTAATTGAAAAATCATGATTTCAGTTTTTTTTTTCATTAAAAAACACAGTGTGCTGCAGGATCTGTTTTATGTGTTCACACATACCACATAGATGTAAATTTTCTCATATCTAGGCCCAAATGTACCACTCACAGGTATCAGAGCGAGCTGAGCTTATGACGTAGATCTACGGTTTGGACCCTGAACGTAAACCGTAGATCATGGGACGGACCCGAAAGGTTAACCGACAAAAAACCACTACATTAGTTTTGGTAGCAGAGAAATTTTTCACAACTTAACATTAAGACAGCAACACTCAATTGCCAACACAATGAGGGCAAATTCCAGCCTTAAAACCCACCCAACCTGAATTTCAGCACCCATATCCAAGGCGTATGACGGGGGATAGGGGGGCAATGGGCAAAGTTGCAAGGATGGGAGGGGGGGGGGGGGGGGGGAGGTTACTGAAAGCAGGAAAAGTTTTTCAGGAAGTGAGGCTCAATTTGAGAGAGGAAAGAGGAAATTTTTTCCCAGAAAAAAAAGGGCCTTTGACAAGGGGTTTTTGGATGTCACCGGGTTGTTTAATAATATAATGGGGGTTTTAAGAGAAGAAATGCGAGGGCTTGGCAAAAGGGGGGAGTTAAAAATAAAGAATCCACCCCAAAAATGGGATTGTCACAGCTGCCTTTTCGAGACACGTCTCTTGGGAGTTCGAAGAGAAGTTTCAAAGGTGGATAATTTGGTAGGGGGGCAAAAGAAGAAAATTAAAGGGAATACAGGAAAGAGTAAGTTTTAGATAACAAAAGATTAGGTGATGAAAAATTTAATATCAATTGGGGGGAAGAGTAAGGAGGGAACTATTCAATATTTGGGAGTGACGTGTCAGCGGATGGGTCATGAAAGATGAGTGAATCAAAAAATTGATGAGGGGAAAAAAAGTGGTGGTTCACTTAGGGGTCTTTGGGGACAAGAATTTGTCCTTGGAGGCAAAAGGGGATGTAAGAATATTTTTAAAAAACCCAACGCCTTTATTGGGTTGAAGCTGGGTGAGAATGTTGCAGCGAGGAGAAGGCTGGAGAGTGGGATGTCATGTCTGGGGCAAAGTGTGGGTAAAAAATAAGCAGAGAATTCGTATTTGGGAAATTAGGAGGGGGGCCCGGGGTTACCAAAACTGTTGTCCAGAGGCGAGGAAAGGGTTTGAGTGTTTTTGGGCATGTAAGAGAATGGAGCGAAACAGAAGACTTCAAAGGTACATTTTGTAGTGGGGAAAGGGAAGGGGGGGGTAGGGGGCGGCCTAGGAAGGGGTTTAGGGGGGGGTAAAGGATTTTTTGTGGGGGCGAGGGGCTTGGGAAATTTCCCCAGCGGGCATGCGTGAGTGGGGTTTGATGGGAGTGAATGGAGAAAAATTTTTTTTTTAAATACTTTCGTGCCTTTTGGGAGTTGAGCAAAGAAACATTTATAAAAAGGGGTTTCGGGGAAACCGCAGGCCCGGGACTTGAGTCCTGGAGATGGGAAGTCCCAGTCCCCTTGCACTTTTGAAGGAGGGGTGTTAATTTTGTTTTTAAAAACGTAGTGTAAAGCACCCTTCTGGCAAAACAGTGATGGAGTGAATGTGTGAAATTTTTTTCTTTTTCGGGCCCCCCTCCCTTTTGGTGGGAATCGGCCGGTGTATAATAATAAAAAAAAAAAAATATCCAACACAAAAAAAAAAAAAGACCAAAAATTGGGATCCTCTCCAAGATACATACACAGCCGCAAAATCCCTTTCTCACACTATCCTTTCACTCATTTATCCTACCTCACCTATCAATTTGTGCTTGGGGATCAACTCCAACCACCAAAACCAATAATAACCAACAAAAACCCAGTAAAAAATCATAATCCCATCCCGGGAAACACCTCCCCCCCCCCTCTTCATAATAAAACACCCCTTTCGAACATCCACACTTACACTGTGCAATTAATAACAGACCAAAATTTCCCAAATATTATCCTTGACCTAAAAGCTTTCTTGATAGTTGTACGGGATCCACGGGCATAACCCCAAACACAAACACTCTACGACTTCCCCGGTCCGACCAAACCTTTCAAAAATTCAGTGTATTAAAAGGCCCCCAAAAATCGGAACCCCCTCCCCTTAAAAACTCTAGAACGCAGACACTTCCTCACCTCAAAACTACCGTTAGAAACATTTTATCTCCCGATACACCCCGCAACAACTCCATGATAACCACCTGGGGGTTCACACTTACGCTCACTCACCACCCTTTTGACTATAAGCACAGAAATACGAATCTTAATCTCAAAAAAATGTTTCCAACAGTCAAATTTTGCCTGTGATACTCCAATAATAAACAAGTTTATCCAAAACAGAAGCACCCATTGCTAAACCACAACTATATTTATCACTTAATATTTTCAATTTACTCCATAATTTGAAAATTTTAGGTTAAAATTTAAAATCAAGTCTGCCCAAATGCCTACCAGCGGGGTGCCATGCCCCTTCTGAAATTTAGTTTTTTATTACTAAAAATCACAAAATAACCAAAACGTAAACCCCGCATTTTTTTTCCCTTAAGAAAAACTTTTTGATTGATTTTTTGATTGATTGATTGTTGATTGATTGATTATTATTTTTCAAATGGTAAACCTTAATTTTTTTTACGCGATTGTACAGGAATTACTTTTAATTATATTTGTATCATAACTGTTTAAAACTTCACAAATAAAAAAATGATTGAATCCTGTTTTATTTTTTATTTTTTTTTTTGACTGCTGTTGTTGTTGATGTTGCACCATTGTGATGCCCATTGCTTTTGCAATTCTTACTGTGTATTGCGAGCCCTTTTGAATGACCCCCTTTTGATGTGGATTCCTTCCATCTGGTACAGCGCCTGTGAGGTCACCCAAACTCTTTTTTTTATGAGGGCTTCTTTTCCCCCATTTCTGCTTTCTAAAATTGAAAATAATTTAAATTGATAATGGAGTAATGAAGGTAAATTTTTTTTTTCGGGCCCCCTCCCTTGGGGGGAATGGGCCAGTGTGTTAAAAAAATTTAAATTTAAAATTAGGATGTCCCAAGGGTATTGGTATTGACTAGTTTTAATAATCAGATCGTGATACACTAATTTTGAGGTATGGTGATACAGCTAATTTGATGGATCGGGATACCTAATTTTGATGGTATGGGTGAACAGCTTTTTTTGATGGTATCGGTATATCAGCAAATTTTTGAGGGTATCAGTACTCAAAAATTTAGTTTTTTTATCATGAAACTTGGGCATTGTACTATACCTATCTTTATCCCTTTCAAAATTTTCTTGGCTTTTTTTTCATTTTTTATTATTTTTTGCATCTACACTTCACGGGGAAACCATTTAGCCGGACTTGATCCGGAGGTGAGTAGTACATGCCTGCACTCTTTTGGGGGGGGTGATTTTTGCTGCTGGGGGTACATCTAAAAAGTTTTTCTGTGTGCCCCGGCAAAACAGTGATGTGTGAATAGGGGGGAAAGGTTTCTTTTTTAGGTCACCCTTCCTTGGGGGAGATGGGTTGGTTTTTAAAAACTAATGTATTTTCACATTTCCTACATGTTTTAATTTTTTGATGTTTATTTCCGCAGGGGGACTGGCTACATTTTCCGGGCATGCCGCTTGTGTTGGTCACGGAGCCTTTGCTTTAAAGGAAGATTATGGATTTACACAAGAGATGCAACTGCTGACCTATTACCGTCCATAGAAATGGTCAGCCATACCCTAATATCCCAGCAAGCAAGGGTATCGACAGCTTTAACATGGGGGTAACTCTGTTATTTGATAGGTGAATATCCTCTTTTTTCAACAAATTTGTCTTTTTTTAAAAATGCATACGGGGAAGGGTACTACCCTTGCCCCCTGCAAATTTTTGTCGCCTCTTACAACAGCATACTTTCAAGAAAGAATTCTGTTCCACTTCCCCATGGAGAAAAATGAATAGGTGCTTCATAATTCAGTTTGATGAAATACTGAATACTTGTGGTGGGTTCAGGGGGGGGAACTAGTTTTGTCAGGGTTGAGCCTGGAGGGGGGGCAGGGATCCCTGCACTCTGAAGGAGGGTAGTATTTTTACAGTTCTGGGGATGGGATACAGTAAATAAATGCTGGGGGAAAGGGTGGGGAATACAGTACTAAATGCGGATAAGGGTGGGATTAGGGCAAATGCGGCAGTAATCTTAATCTTTAAAAAACCCCTTTCACTACATTTTTTTTCCTTTGATTTTTATTTTGGTTTTAGTGTTAGTGTCAAGGGGGCTTTTGGGTAAGGGAAAAAAAATTGTTTAAAAAGTGGGGGAGTGCATTTTTTTGTTAATCCTTGTTTTTATCTTACAGATAAAATTTCCAACAGAAAACAAGTTTTTACCGAAAAAGGGAAAACTGTGAAAAACTTTTTCCGCTTAAACACCGCCGTAAAAAGTGTGTTTGTGGATGGAAAACTGTACAGTTTTTAGCCATGACTTTTGATGACAGCACGTTTATAGAATTCTAGATGTTCAGAGGAGAACCAGTTATACTGCACATGCAAAAGTTTTGCAACTAAGAAAAATTCCACTCACTCGTGCAAGGAGAAACAGGCTTCACAAATTGAGCATAGTGTAGTGTTTTCAAAAGAGGTGTGGAGAGAGAAGGAGACCGACCCCCATGTTTTCACGACTAAATGCCCTGCTGATGCTACATTCTCTCTGGGTTGTTTTCCACTTCTAAAAAACAATCCATAACACGAAAAAATTTTTGGGGAAAACATAAAATACAGTAGGAGCCACCGTATCCGCAGGGGATACATTCCAAGAACCTGTCGTGGATACTGAAACCATGGCAAGTTCTTGGAACCTGCTATACCTATTATAAAGTTTAATTGATAAATTATGCACAATAAGTGCAGAATTATCACTTTTTCACTGAGGGGAAGGACTTCACAAGCTTAGGCTCTGAAGAACTGCCAGCTTCTCTACTTCTGTGCTTTGGGGGCCATTGTTATGTAAAATAAGAGGTATTTTTGGGCCACAGTAAACAGTGGATAACTGAAACCGTGGATACCGAATCAGTGGATACGGGGGTTCTACTGTATAGATTTATGTAAAATGCCATGTCTTAGAGTTCATTGTTGAATGTTAGTAAGACAAAATTCCTCTTATGGCATTTTATTGGGAAAACATCATCCACAAGGGACGTTATTAATTTTTACTAAAATGGGTAGAAAGAGAGCATGAAGTCTCTGGTGGACAAAATACCTTTCCAAATGTAATGCCATAAATGACATGTCATGTCTTATTAATATACATGTCAGTGAATAACTGAAGTGTAATGAACACTTGTCAGTGCTCAATAATAACCCACATGAAGACAGAAACTCAGAAGATCAATTGATCTGTATATATTGACCCCTTTCTGGGATCCTCTTCACAGATGGGTCCCAGAAAGGGGGGTTGAAATATACAGATCAATTAATCTCCTTTGTATCTGTCTCCATGTGGGTTATTACTGAGCATAATGTCAGTTTAATGCCATTGATTTACAGTTCCTTGGTGATGTTACCTTCAGTAACGAGGGAATTAATTTAGAGGAGAAATATTGATGCACCTCACATTCCATTTTTTTTTTTTAATAAAATATTCAAAGATATAAATAATATAACACATGATTACATGCCATAGTATTTTAATTTTTATATTTTTTTTATATAAATTATATAAATAACTTGGAAAAAAAGGATAAATACTATTATCCTATTTTTTTTTTGGTTTTTGTCTAAAAAAGGAATTTATTATAATTATTATTTTTACAGTCACCTTAGGAACGCTAAACCCATAAGGGTCGTATAGTGCCTAGTGAAGGGAAGGTGATTAGATTCAATCCTAGGGAGGATAGCTCCAAATCTTTGGATCAAGAGCCTCTCACTGGCATCAAGGTGCTGACTTCCCTAAAAGGAAAACTAAAATTTGAGGTTTAATTTACAGAAACAACTTGATTTTCCTTTTCGACAAAGATTCTGTTCTATGGTTTCTAATGTTCACTAACGGAAGTATTACAATTATTATATTGTACATAAACATCATATAAATAAAAGACTACTGTACATAAAGTATATTAAAATCAGTCGTACTAAAATTTCCTCTGTATTGTTTATTGTAGAGGATGAGAGATCATGGTTCATACAGGTAATGTATGATGCTGTCTATATATTACAATAAATTGGTTAAATTTAGTTTTTCTTGCCTTATTGGTCTTCTTCAACCAAGATTAAGTTTTTTTTTTTTTTTTTTTTCAACAAGTCGGCCGTCTCCCACCGAGGCAGGGTGACCCACCGAGGCAGGGTGACCCACCAAGGCAGGGTGACCCACCGAGGCAGGGTGACCCACCGAGGCAGGGTGACCCACCGAGGCAGGGTGACCCACTGAGGCAGGGTGACCCACCGAGGCAGGGTGACCCAAAAAAAGAAAGAAAATCCCCAAAAAGAAAATACTTTCATCATCATTCAACACTTTCACCACACTCACACATTATCACTGTTTTTGCAGAGGTGCTCAGAACACAACAGTTTAGAAGCATATACGTATAAAGATACACAACATATCCCTCCAAACTGCCAATATCCCAAACCCCTCTTTTAAAGTGCAGGAATTGTACTTCCCATTTCCAGGACTCAAGTCCGACTATATGAACATAACTGGTTTCCCTGAATCCCTTCACTAAATATTACAATGCTCACACTCCAACAGATCGTCAGGTCCCAAGTATCATTCGTCTCCATTCACTCCTATCTAACACGCTCATGCACGCTTGCTGGAAGTCCAAGCCCCTCGCCCGCAAAACCTCCTTTACCCCCTCTCTCCAACCCTTTCGAGGACGACCCCTACCTCGCCTTCCTTCCCCTATAGATTTATATGCTTTCCATGTCGTTCTACTTTGATCCATTCTCTCTAAATGACCAAACCACCTCAACAACCCCTCTTCTGCCCTCTGACTAATGCTTTTATTAACTCCACACCTTTTCCTAATTTCTACACTCCGAATTTTCTGCATAATATTTACACCACACATTGCCCTTAGACAGGACATCTCCACTGCCTCCAACCGTCTCCTCGCTGCTGCATTTACCACCCAAGCTTCACACCCATATAAGAGTGTTGGTTAAGTGACCATACAAAAAAATCATCATTCACTGAATTGCTGTCTTGCCAGAAGTTAATAGTTTTTATTTTTTTTTTTTTTTTTGTTTTAAACACTGCTGTCTCCCACCAAGGCAGGTGAGCCTGAAAAAAAAAGTAACGCTTTCATATTTTTTTTTTTAAAAACTAGCCATATCTTCCTAAGGCAAGGTGACCTACAATGAAAAACGAGTTTTTCTCTTTACATTTAGTAATTTATACAGGAGACGAGGTTACTAGCTCCTTGTTCCTGGCATTTTAATCATCTCTTACGACATGCATAGGTTACGGAGGAAGGATTCTTCTCCACTTCAGTATGTACTTAGTTGAATAATGAAGTTTTTTCATGTAATAAAAATGTAGAGCCTACTTCAGATGTTGAAATTTGTGCCACTAGCATCAATAGGCTGGTTGATTGGGGCATCCACCATGAGGATGGTGTTGTTGACCTCAGAGCAAATTCCAGACAGAAGGGAAGAGTGTGTGTAGCCAATAGCTTGTTTGCATTGCTCAGTTTTACACTCCAAGCTTACAAACCTTTGCACACACACTCTAATTTCTTGATGTATTTGATTGGGTGTGGAGTTCCAAAATAGTGCTGCATACTCCAGTATGGGCCTGATATACACAGTGTACATAGTCTAGAATGATTCCTTACTGAGGTGTCGGAACACTGTTCTTAGGTTTGCCAGGCGCCCATATGTTGCAGCAGTTATTTGGTTGATATGCACCTCAAGAGATGTGTTTGGTATTATACTGATCCCAAGATCCTTTTCCTTGAGTGAGGTTTGCAATCTTTGGCCACCCTAGCCTGTGCTCTGTGATCTTTGCCCTTCTCAAATCTTCATAACTTTTCATTTGGTGGGGTTAAACTCCAAGAGCCAGTTGCTGGACCAGGCTTGCAGCCTGTCCAAATCCCTTTGCAGTCCTGCCTGATCCTCATCCGACTGAATTCCCCTCATTTGCCTTACATCATCTGCAAAGAGGGACACTTTTGAGTCTATCCCTTCCTTTGTGTTATTCACATATACCAGAAACAGCACCAGTCCCAGGACCGACCCCTGTGGAACCCCGCCAGTCTCAGGCACCCACTCCGACACCTCGTTGCATACCACGACTCGTTGTTGCCTCCCTGACAGGTATTCTCTGAATCATTGCAGTACCTTTCCTGTTATACCTGCCTGGTCCTTTAGGTTTTGCACTAATCTCTTGTGTGGAACTGTGTCAAAAATCCCCTTACAGTTCAAGAAAATGCAATCTACCCCCTTCCCTCTCTCTCTTGTCTTACTTTCGTCACCTTGTAAAACTCCATTAGGTTTGTGACACAGGATTTCCCTTCCCTGAAGCCATGCTGGTAGTCTTGTATAAGCTCATGTGTGTGTGTGTGTGTACTCGCCTAGTTGTACTCACCTAATTGTGGTTGCAAGGGTCGATTGTCACCTCCTGGCCTCGCCTCTTCACTGGTCACTATTATGTCACTCTTCCTGCTCCATGAGCTTTATCATACCTCTTCTTAAGGCTATGTATGGCTCCTGCCTCCACTACATCACTTCCCAGACTATTCCACTTCTTGACAATTCTGTGACTGAAGAAATACTTCCTAACATCCCTGTGATTCACCTGAGTCTTCAACTTCCAGTTGTGATCCCTTGATGTTGTGTCCCACCTCAGGAACATCCTGACTCTGTCCATCTTGTCAATTCCTCTCAGTATTTTATATGACGTTATCATATCTTCCCTATCTCTCCTGTCCTCCAATGTAGTCATGTTGATTTCCGTTAACCTCTCCTCGTAAGGCATGCCCCTTAGCTCTGGGACTAGTGTTGTTGCAAACCTTGTCACTGTCTCTAGTTTCCTTACGTGCTTGGCTAGGTTTGGGCTCCAAACTGGTGCTGCATACTCCAGTATAGGACTAACATACACGGTGTACAGGGTCCTGAACGATTCCTTATTGAGATGTCGGAATGCTGTTCTGAGGTTTCCCAGGCGCCCATATGCTGCAGCAGTTATTTAGTTGATGTGCGCTTCAGATGTGCCTGGTGTTATACTCGCTCCAAGATCCTTTTCCTTGAGTGAGGTTTGTAGTCTCTTGTTAGTTAGTTTAATATCTTTATTATGCACCCCATACCCATCCTGTGGGTGGTAGTCAAAAGATTACAGAGGTACATAATGGGTCCAGGGACTGGACCCCAAAGTTATGATAGCTGAACTAGTTACAAAGGTAATGAACTCCAGGTAGATCTGGTCACAATCATGGCAAGTTGCAAAGGAAATGAATCAGCCTCACTCCTATACATGGTTACAATCATGAACAAATTACAAAGTAATGAGCCACTGAGACCCCTAGACTGTACTCCATCTGGGGCCTTCTCTGCCCTTCCCCAGTCTTCATGACTTTGCACTTGGTGGGGTTGAATTTAAGGAGCCAGTTGCTGGACCACGCCTGCAGCCTGTCCAGATCCCTTTGTAGTTCTGCCTGGTCCCCGTCCAGTTGAATTCTCATCAACGTCACATCATCTGCAAACAAGGATACTTCTGAGTCTATTCCTTCCATCATGTCATTCACAAATACCAGAAATAGTACAGGTCCTAGGACTGACCCCTGTGGAACCTTGCTCATCACGCGCGCCCTCTCTGACACCTCGCCACGTACCACGACTCACTGTTGTCCTCCCGACAGGTATTCGCTAATCTATTGCAGTGCCTTCCCTGTTATCCCTGCTTGGTCCTCCACCTTTTGCACTAATCTCTTGCGTGGAACTGTGTCAAACGCCTTCTTAAAGTTCAAGAAATTGCAATCTACCCACCCCCCTCTCTTTCCTGTCTTACTGCTGTCACCGTGTCATAGAACACACGGTTTCCCATCCCTAAAACCATGCTGGTTGTTATTGATAAGCTCATTCCTTTTTAGGTGCTCTGGTGTGTGTGTGTGTGTGTGTGCAATATACTTTTCATTTTCTACTGTAACTTACAATGCCTATAAACATTATGTTCAGTATATGGTGGCCTGGTGGGTAAAGCTCCCGCTTCACACACGGAGGGCCCGGGTTTGATTCCCGGCGGGTGGAAACATTTCGACGCATTTCCTTACACCTGTTGTCCTGTTCACCTAGCAGCAAATAGGTACCTGGGTGATAGTGGACTGGTGTGGGTTGCATCCTGGGGGACAAGATGAGGACCCCAATGGAAATAAGACAGTCCTCGATGACGCACTGACTTAGGCTATCCTGGGTGGCTAACCCTTCGGGATTAAAAATCTGAAGAAAATCTTATCTCTTATCTCTCTTTGTTTTCATTTCCTATTATTATTTCCTCTACGTATAGTACAATACTAGTTTATTATCAAATATTTTTTTAATTGATAAGGGGGATTACCAATAGACCCCTGGTTGTCTTCAAGACCCCTGGTTATCTTCAAGACCCCTGGTTATCTTCAAGACCCTGGTTATCTTCAAGACCCCTGGTTATCTTCAAGACCCCTGGTTATCTTCAAGACCCCTGGTTATCTTCAAGACCCCTGGTTATCTTCAAGACCCCTGGTTATCTTCAAGACCCCTGGTTATCTTCAAGACCCCTGGTTATCTTCAAGACCCCTGGTTGTCTTCAAGACCCCTGGTTATCTTCAAGACCCCTGGTTGTCTTCAAGACTCCTGGTTGTCTTCAAGATCCCTGGCTGTCTTCAAGACCCCTGGCTGTCTTCAAGACCTCTGGTTGTCTTCAAGACTCCTGGCTGTCTTCAAGACCCCTGGTTGTCTTCAAGACCCCTGGTTTCCTTCAAGATCCTTGGCTGTCTTCAAGACCCCTGGTTGTCTTCAAGACTCCTGGCTGTCTTCAAGACCCCTGGTTGTCTTCAAGACTCCTGGCTGTCTTCAAGACCCCTGGTTGTCTTCAAGACCCCTGGTTTCCTTCAAGATCCTTGGCTGTCTTCAAGACCCCTGGTTGTCTTCAAGACTCCTGGTTGTCTTCAAGACCCCTGGTTGTCTTCAAGACCCCTGGTTGTCTTCAAGACCCCTGGTTGTCTTCAAGACCCCTGGCTGTC